GGGCTTACTGTAGAACTTGATAGGTTTGGGTTTTTGACCGTTCTGCTGCGTCCTGCAAGTGGTGGGGTGAGCTGTGAAGTTGCAGGGCTTGATAGGAATTTCTGCGGGCTTCTGAGCTGGAATGATAGAAAGGCTAAGTTTACTGGGTTTCGTGGTTTCCTTATGTCTGCTTGTCTTAGGGAATTTGGCTACTGAGGTACAGCTTAACTGCGCTGAGGGGCTGAATGCCAGTCTGTCCCAGGCACCCAGGGGTTCAAGCATCAGTGTCCATTTTTCGTTGTAAAACCCGGGCTTGTGCTACGAACCTGATCGCCGAAGAGCTTGCTATGGTTACATCATGTTGATGTAGAAGCCTGAATAAATACTATTGATACTCCTCAGGATTCCTTGTGAATGAAGATGCCATGATACACTCACCAACTCTGATTATGAACGCCTTTGTATTCTTTCTACCGGCCCCATGCGCCAGTATGCACCAGTGTTGGTGCTCTTAGTCGTTTGCTCCTGATCGCGCTTCTAGGCTTGACTTTGGACTGTCACCGTGACTAATTTAGTGGCCTTAATAATTGCCTATACTATTTTTGGGGTTTCTTCTTATAAGCATAGCATAATGGACCCGAAAACCCTATTCTAATTATTAAGGCCCCTATATTATGTGTCTTGCCAAGCTTCAGCGAACTGCCGGTCTATCCGTTTACACTTGCCCGATTTCGAGGGCAGGGCATTCGAAGAGTTGGGATTGAGGTAGGTGGCGTGAGACCATGGATCTGGGTAGTTGCCGTTATAGGGGCCTTATAGAAGGTCTATATACCTTATAGAAGCCCTACAAACCCTGAACTCCCCACTTGTAGTTTCCTTTAACATGGAAGGTGACATCAGCAGTTGAAGATGCTGGCATTTTTGGGTGTTTTAGCCTCAGCCCTCTTCCACATTTTAAAGCAGTCCTTCTTGTCCTGCCTGGGCTGATCTTGTTGTTTCTGAGTCATCATCAAGAGTCTTCTGCTTCGCTGGGGGTCTGTGCTAAACCCGAAACCCGAAACCCCAAGCCCTAAACCCTAAACCCGAACCCTTAAGCCCTTAGCCCTAAGCCCTAAACCCTACAAACCCTAAACCCTAAACCCTACTACCCCTAAACCCTAAACCCTAAACCCTACAACCCCCAAGCCCTACAACCCCTTAACCCTAAACCCTACAACCCCCAAACCCTACAACCCCTAAACCATAAACCCTACAACCCTACAACCCCTAAGCCCTGCCTAAACCCCTAAACCCTAAACCCTCTCATGTCTGGCTTGCAGGCCCGGTTGACAGAGCTTCAAGGATTCCTTAAAGGGTTTCGGGTTTAGGATTTAGGGTTCTTAAGGGCTCCTTAAAGGGATCTATAGGGCTCCCACGACTCGCAGGCCCGGCTGACGGAGCTTCAAGAGGAGGCCTTGAGCAGTTTGAAGAAGGCCAGGGCCTCTCGAAAGGTTTCCTTCTGAAAGGCTTCATTTTACAGGAGCCGCCCCCTTAAAGAGGGTTTAGGGTTTAGGGTTTAGGGCTTAGGGCTTAAGGGTTTAGGGTTTGGGGCTTAAAGGTTTAGGGTTTAGGGTTTAGGGTGCTTTTTTTTTGAAGGGTCCCTTTAAAGGCTTCTTTTAAAGGAGCCGCCCCTTTAAAAATGGTCCTTTCTCTTGAAGGGTCCCTTTGAAAGGGCTCCTTGAAAGGGCCCCCTTAAAGCGCCCCTCTGAAGGGTTCCTTGAACGGGCTTAGGGTTTAGGGTTTAGGGTTTAGGGTTTAGGGTTTAGGATTTAGGGTTTAGGGTTTAGGATTTAGGGTTTAGGGCTTGGGGGTTAGGGCTGAGGGTTTCTTTTCAAGAGCTCTATTGAAGGGTTCGGGGGGCGACTGTAGGCCCAGGCGTGGTTCTGAGGCTTGCGACCAGGGTTTCTTTGAAGGGGTAAACCCTAAACCCTAAACCCTAAACCCTAAACCCTGTTTGGGTGTTCAAGGGTTCAAGGAGGATTGGGGAAGTCTAGGGTCAACCCTAAACCCTAAACCCTAAACCATGTAGGGTTCCTATGAGGGTATAAAAGGTTTAGGGTTTAGGGTTTAGGGTTTAGGGTTCCTTTAAAGAGTTATGATAAGGGATTTTTTGTAAGGGGGCCTCAAGAAGGCACCCCCTCCCCCCCTTGCCGGGTTCGGCTTAGGGTTCGGGGTTTAGGGTTTCGGGTTTAAGGTTAAGGGTTTAAGGTTTAGGGTGTAGGGTTTAGGTGTTAAGGTTTAAGGTTTAGGGTTTAGGTTTGAGGTTTAGGGTTTAAGGTTTAGGGTTTAGGGTTTTGGGTTCGAGAGGTTTTGGAAAGTGGAGTTTTGGGGCGTCGAAGAGGGCGAGGCAAAATTGGCTCGGGCGGTTCTTTTGAGTCGTTTAGGGTCCCGAAGCCCTAAACCCTAAACCTTAAACCCTAAACCCCGAAACCTTAAACCTCTAAGTCCAAAACGTCTAAGTCGACTTAGAGTTGGGTATTAGGGCCCCTACATTAAACCTAAAACTTTTTAAGCCCGGAACCCCCAAACCCTAAACCTCCTTACAGTGGCCCTTACAGAAACCCTTATAGACCTTTTTTAAGGAATCCTTTGAAGGACCCCTATTCTAATTATTAAGGCCCCTACATTAAACCCTAAAAAAAAACCCTAAGCCCTAAACCCTAAACCCTAAGCCGTAAGCCCTAAACCCTAAACCCTAAACCGTAAACCTTTAAGCCCCGAACCCCCAAACCCTAAACCTCCCAGCAGGCAAAAGCGGCTCTGGGCTTGGCGAGCGAGTCGTGTCCTGCAGAGATCGCCACTGTGCCGCAGAGGAAGGTTGGGTTTTAGGGCTTTGGGGCTTCGGGCTTAGATTGTAGGGCTTAGGATTTAGGATTTAGGATTTAGGGCTTAGGATTTAGGGCTTAGGATTTAGGGTTTGGGGCTTCGGGCTTCGATTGTAGGGCTTAGGATTTAGGATTTAGGGCTTAGAGCTTAGAGTGTAGGGCTTTGGGTTTTGGGGCTTCGGGTTTAGGTTTGGGGTCTGGGGGCCTTCTGCCCTGATACAAAAGAAGAAGACTGTGATGGTGACGGTTATGTTGTACTGCTTGCGCTTATGATTCTGGTGGTTCTTGCGGTGAAGAAGAGTCGATGGTGAGCAATGTGAAGATGATGAAGGCATAGACGATGGTTCTGACAGTGGTGAGCAAGCTAGAACTGTGATGACAAATAGCAAGATGATACATGACGACGATGCTGCGCTTGTCGCCGTGCATCTTTGGAAATGTCTGAGGCAAATTATGTCATCGGCAGATCAAAAGACGTGCATGGCAATGCATATGGCATTGAACAGAAAGATGTTCGCTGGCCTTCTGACCATGAAGGCCACGATGCAGTGACGATGACGATGGCTGATGGCGATTACGACGAGACGGCAGCGAGGACGAAGACGAAGCACTGGAAAACACCGAACGCAGCATGACCAGAAAAAACCGATCCATTAACCAACGACATGTGGCATGCACTAGTTGCAACTAGCTTCCCGCGGTGTTCCAGTTTCGAATGTCCGGCATCATTTCGAACGATCAGCCGCATGCCCTGCAATTTCCGGTGCTGCAGCCTCTTGCCTGGACAATGATGCGCCGGAGAAGCACACGAGCGAGTAGGAGTGTGACACATAGTAGTCGTGGTGAGAGTAGGGTACTGTTAGCAGTCGTCGTCGTCGTCGCAGTGGTGGCGGTGCTAGTCCTGGTCTTGGTTCTGGTCGTGGTCGTGGTAGCAGTGGTGGCAATGGTCGTGGTGGTAGTAGCAGTAGTAGTAGCAGTAGTAGTAGTAGTAGTAGTAGTAGAAGTAGTATAGTAGTAGTAGTAGTATAGTAGTAGTAGTAGTAGTAGTAGTAGTAGTAGTAGTAGTCGTGGTGGTGTAGTAGTA